ATGATTCTGAAATAAACAGACCTCCATATACAACGAACTGAATCTTAACCTATATCTCACACCTTACCAAAAAATTAATTCAAAATGGATCATAGGCTAAAAGTAAAACTCTAAAAGTTTTACCCCCACTCGTCTGTCAGGTGGTCATACTGTGGGGGCTTGCGTGTTGCTGTGATGCTGGAAAATATGCCACTGGCATTCAGATACCAGCAGGGTCACCATGGCGGACAAGTATCAGCTGAGTTTCCAGGCCAAGACAGACTAGGAAGAAGGACCTGGCAGTCTACTTCTGAAAAGAATTAGCCAGTGAAAACCTTATGAATAGCAGCAGAACATTATCTGATATAGTGCCAGAAGATGAGCCCCTCAGGTTGGAAGGCACTCAAAATATGACTAGGGAAGAGCTGCCTCCTCAAAGTAGAGTCGACCTTAATGATGTGGATGGAGTCAAACTTTCGGGACCTTCATTTGCTGATGTGGCACAACTCAAAATGAGAAGAAATAGCTACAAACATCCATTAAAAATCAGAACATGGAATGTACGAACGATGAATCTAGGAAAATTGGAAATGGTCAAAAATGAAATGGAACTCATAAAGATCAATATCCTAGGTATTAGTGAGCCAAAATGGACTGGTATTGGTCATTTTGAATTAGACAATCATATGGTCTACTACGCCAGGAATGACAACTTGAAGAGGAGTGGTGTTGCATTCATCGTCAAAAAGAACATTTCAAGGTCTATCCTGAAGTATAAGGCTGTCAGTGATAGGATAATATCCATACGCCTACAAGGAAGACCAGTTAATACGACCATTATTCAAATTTATGCACCAACCACTAAGGCCAAAGATGAAGAAACTGAAGATTTTTACCAACTTCTGCAGTCTGAAATTGATCGAACATACAATCAGTATGCACTGAAAATTACTGGTGATTGGAATTCGAAAGCTGGAAACAAAGAAGAAGGATTGGTAGGTGGAAAATATGGCCTGGTGACAGAAACAATGCCAGAGATCCCATAATTGAATTTTGCAAGACCAACAACTTCTTCATTGCAAATACCTTTTTTCACCAACATAAATGGAGACTATACACATGGACGTTGCCAGATGGAATACATAGGAATCAAATAGACTACATCTGTGGAAAGAGATAATGGAAAAACTCAGTATCATCAGTCAGAACAAGGCCAGGGGCCAACTGCAGGTCAGACCATCAACTACTCATATGCAAGTTCAATCTGAAACTGAAGAAAATTAGAACAAGTCCACAAGAGCCAAAGTATGACCCTGAGTATATCCCACCTGAATTTAAACACCATGTCAAAAAGAGATTTGATGCACTGAACACTAATGACCAAACACCAGATGAGTTGTGGAATGACATCAAGGTCATCACACATGAAGAAAGCAAGAGGTCATTAAAAAGACAGGAGAGAAAGAAAAGACCTAAATGGATGTCAGAAGAGACTCTGAAACTTGCTCTTGAACGTGGAGTAGCTAAAGAAAAAAGAAAAAATAATGACGTGAAAGAACTGAAGATTTCAAAGGGTAGCTGGAGAAGACAAAGTAAAGTATTATGATGACATGTGCAAAGACCTGGAGATAGAAAACCAAAAGGGAAGAACACACTCAGCATTTCTCAAGCTGAAAGAACTGAAGAAAAAATTCAAGCCTTGAGTTGCAATAGTGAAGGATTCTAAAGGGAAAATATTAAATGACGCAGGAAGCATCACAAGAAGATGGAAGGAATACACAGAGTCACTATACCAAAAAGAATTGGTCGACGTTCAACCACTTCAGGAGGTAACATATGATCAGGAACCAATGGTACTGAAGGAAGAAATCCAAGCTGCACTGAAGGCATTGGCGAAAAACAAGGCTCCAGGAATTGATGGAATACCAATTGAAATGTTTCAACAAATGGATGCAGCACTGGAAGTGCTCACTTATCTATGCCAAGAAATTTGGAAGACATCTACCTGGCCAACCGACTGGAAGAGATCCATATTTATGCCTATTCCCAAGAAAGATGATTCAACCGAATGTGGAAATTATTGAACAATATCATTAATATCACATGCAAGCAAAATTTTGCTGAAGATCATTCAAAAGTGGCTGCAGCAGTATATTCACAGGGAACTGCCAGAAACTCAAGCTGGATTTAGAAGAGGATGTAGAACCAGGGATATCACTGATGTCAGATGGATCCTGGCTGAAAGCAGAGAATACCAGAAAGATGTTTACCTCTGTTTTATTGACTATGCTGAGGCATTTGACTGTGTGGATCATAACAAATTATGGATAACATTGCAGAGAATGGGAATTTCAGAACACTTAATTGTGCTCATGAGGAATCTGTATATGGATCTAGAGGCAGTCATTCTAACAGAACAAGGGGACACTGTGTGGTTTAAAGTCAGGAAAGGTGTGCATCAGGGTTGTATCCTTTCACCATACCTATTCAATCTGTACACTGAGCAAATAATTTGAGAACCTGGACTATATGAAGAACACAGCATCAGGATTAGAGGAAGACCCATTAACAACATGCATTATGCAGATGACACAACCTTGCTTGCTGAAATTGAAGAGGACTTGAAGCACTTTCTGATGAAGTTCAAAGACCACAGCCTTCAGTATGGATTACACCTCAACATAAAGAAAACAAAAATCCTCACAACTGCACCAGCAAGCAACATCATGATAAATGGAGAAAAGATTGAGGTTGTCGAGGATTTCATTTTACTTGGATCTACAATCAACACCCATGGAACCAGCAGTCAGGAAACCAAAAGACACATTGCAGTGGGCAAATCAGCTGCAAGGGATATCTTTAAAGTGTTGAAAAGCAAAGATGTCACCTTGAGGACTAAGGTGCGCCTGACCCAAGCCATGGTGTTTTCAATTGCCTCATATGCATGTGAAAGCAGGACAATAAATAAGGAAACCCAAAGAAGATTTGGTGCCTTTGAACTGCGGTGTTGGCGAAGAATATTGAATGTACCACGGATTGTGAAAAGAACGAACAAATCTGTCTTGGAAGAAGTACAACCAGAGTGCTCCTTGGGAGCAAGGATAGCGAGACTGAGTCTCACATACTTTGGACAGGTTGTCAGGAGGGATCAGTCCCTGGAGAAGGACATTGTCCTTGGCAAAGTAGAGGGTCAGCAAAAAAGAGGAAGACCCTCAACGAGATGGACTGACAGGGTGGCTGCAACAATGGGCTCAAGCATAGTGACAATTGCGAGGATGGCGCAGGACCAGGCAGTTTTTTGTTCTGCTGTGCATAGGGTCGCTATGAGTTAGAACCAACACAATGGCACCTAAAACAACAACAAAAGTTTTAGGGAAAAAAAAAAAGCGAAAATCTCTGAGAATTTGAATTAGACAAATATTTATCAGATAAAACACCAAAAGCACACCCATTTAAGAAAAAATATGATAAACTGGACTTAACCAAAATTTAAAACTTTTGCTCTAAGAAAGACACTGTTGAAAAAATGAAAACACAAGCTACAGAATGGGAGAAAATGTTCACAAATCAAATATGCAACAAAGTTCTTATATCCAAAGTATTTCATGAATTCTCAAATTTTTTAGATAAGAAAACATCACTAATTTTTAAAAAGGTCAAAAGATTTGAATAAATACTTCATCAAAGAAAATGTATGAATGACATATAAGCACATGAAAAGATGCTCAACATCATTAGTTATTAGGAAAACGCAAATTAAAATACAGTGAGATACTACTACAAAACCACTAGAATGGCTATAATTAAAAAAAAAAAACTTTAAACTTAGACTATAAACAACTAGAGATGAAGAGGGGCAACTGGATGTCTCATCTATTACTGGTGGTAATGTAAAACCTTGGCAATTTCTTATAAAGTTAAACTTGCAGTGTGACCCAGCAATCCCTATCCTTAGTATTTATCCTGGAGAAATGAAAACTCTCGTTCACACAAAAACCCGCACATGAATATTTATAGAAGCATTATTTGTAATTGCCAAAAGCTGGAAATAAGCCAATGTTCTTGAACAGTAGAAAGTGTAAACAAACTGCTACATCCATTCAATGGAATGCTTCTCAGCCATAAAAAGGAATGAACTATTGATCAAAAAATATGCTAATTGAAAGAAGTCAGACTCAAAAGGTTAAATACTGTATGGTTTCATTTATGTGACATTTGGGAAACGACAAAACTATAGGGATGGAGAGTACCAGTGGTTACCAGGAGTTAGGGGTGGCAGGAGGATTTGCCCGCCCGGGCAGCTTGATGGAATTTTTTCAGGTGCGGTAACTGTTCTCTATCCTAATCCTGGTATTCTTTACACAACTCTATGAAACTGCCAAAACTAACAGAACTATATACAAAAAAATTACTACAATAAATTAGAAAATAATTTTTTTAAAAAGCTGCTGGTGCTGTATTAATATCAGATAGTAACAGCAGAAATCAATGAATAGAAAACAGACAAAAAACTAGGAATATAAATTCAACCATAAGCTGGATCTTTAAACGGCTAAGAAAACTGATAAACCTCTTGCCAACTTGATCAATAAAAAGACAGAAGACACAAATTATCAATATCAAGAATGACAAAAGAATCATAACTATAGATCCTACAAACATTAAAAATATAATAAGGCAATATTATGAACTTTATGCCTATAAATTCAATAACTTAGATGAAATGGAGAAATTAATTGAAAGACTGCCTAAACTGATTACCAGTAGATAACCTGAATAACTCTGTATCTATTAAAGAAACTGATTCTGTTTTCTTTAAAAAAACAAAAAACCTTCCCACAAAGAAAACTATAGGTCTAGGTGACTTCACTGGTAAAATTTGCCAAAAACTTATAGAAGAAATAATACAAATTCTACCCAAGCTTTTCTGGAAAAGAGAAAATGAGGGGTACTTTCGAACTCATTCAATTATTTCATAATTTTTAAAACATCACATGGAAAACAGTGTTCTCATTACTTACAAGGCTCCTAAGTCAAAGTCATGGCCCATTAACTCCTCCAGCAAGCTGGTATCCAGAGCTGTGTTCCCCAGTGTACTGTTGGCCCCCTGAGCTGGAAAGGCAAATTTATTTCTTAAAAATCTTTATTTTAAACACTTTGGGAAAATATTTTGCAAAACTTTATTAATAACATTTAAAATTTGGATAAAATGACTTTCTACAGCAAATAAAAAATTAAATTACCAAAATTGACTCAAAAATCAAGTCTAAAATGACCAGTAGCCATGGATTAAAATCAGAAAATTTTCACCCAGGACATCACCCTACTCCTGCATAAAAGAGCAAGGTCCAGATGGTATAATTGGTCATGCTTTTAAAACTTTAACAAAATGGTAATTCCTCCACTATTTTCACAATTCTAGAGTACAGAGAAAGAAGAAAAGCCTCCAAATTGGTTTTATGAAACCAGCGTAAAACTGATACTGAAATCTGACAGAGATGAGATACATAAAGAAAACTACAGGTGAGGCAGAGCTAACATGGCACTATAGATAGAAGCACCACGCCATCCCTCCATAGCAAACACCTGAAAAACTAAGTAAAACAGAGACAAATGTCAGTCCTAGAAGCCTAAGCGTCAAATGACGAGATAAAGAACTCAACCAAGCACCGAATGGAATAAGAAACTGACAGAGAAGAGAGAGAGTGGAGAGATACGAGCAGAGGTCCCCTATCAGCTAATGAGGCACAGATTCGCCATCTTGGACTCCTGTTGGAGATCGGTGGACAGGGAGTACAGGAAACCAGCTTCACAGAGCTCCTAGCAGGAGACAGAGCATCCGGTAACCAGAGATACACGCTTTCTCACTTTCCACCCTTCTTCCCCCAGCTCGGCCTCCACTGCTTCCCAGCAGGCTGAGGTCACTCAGCCTGTTGGGAGACACTGGTTCTGTGCCACTTGGATTTGGCCCACCCACACCACCTGGCTTCTTTAGTGCCGTTTCGTTGTTGCTGGTGCTCTTTTTTCGGCTTCTTTTGGTTTCTTCCCTACCTCTCACTTCCTCCCCCTCCTTTCTCTAGAACACCTGACTCCATGTGCCATTTTTGCTTCTTCTTGACAGGCTGTGAAGTGTTGCTCGGCTGGGGAAATGCTTCCCCAGTCCGTGCCGCCACGCTGGTGGGATCCCCAGGACTTTTTCTGTTTTGTTTGTTTCTTTTCCTTTTCGCAGCTTGGAAGCCCCTTCTAGCCAGGCTGTACTGCATGACTTGGGAGCCACTTTCCCAGTCTGGGCAGCCATGCCAGTGCCCTGGAGGGATCCCTGGAGGCAATTCTTTTTTTTTTTTTCTTTTTTCCTTTTTGTCTTTCTTCATTTCTCAGTTTCTCATCTCTTTCTACTTACCTTCTTTTCCTGTCTCCTGAACACCTGGCATTGTGTGCCATCTCTGCCCCTTCTAGCTGGCTGCATTGCACAGCTTGGGAGCCAATTCCTCAGTCTGTGCAGCTGTGCCAGTGGAATCCCTGGGGACCTTTCTTTTTTTATTATTATTTTTATTTTTTCTTTTCTCTTTTCCTTTTTGTTTTTCTTCATTACTCAGTTTCTCATCTCTCTCTGCTTTCCTTCTTTTCTGTCTCCTGAATACCTGGAGCTGTGTGCCATCTCCGCCCCTTCTAGACTGGCTGTGCCCTGAGGCCTGGGAGCCATTTCCCCAGTTTCCAGTGGGATCCGTACAGGCATTTCTTTTTTAATTTTTATTTATCTTTTTTCTATTTTTCTTTTCGTTTTTCTTCATTTCTCAGTTTCTAATCTCTCCACTCCAACAGCAAGCTCCCTCAACACTTTTTTTGTTTGTTTTTTTCTTGGCTCCTGTTTCTCTCTCCTCTCTCTCTTCTTTCCCATACCCACCTTAGCTCCACACATCACAGCCTCCCCCCTTCCTCCTGCTACCTGCACCATGTGCTCAACATCATACCCCTGAGCAGCACAGGCACAGCCTACCAGAACCTTCCCTGCACTGACCCCTGGCCTGCCCTGTCAGCCCCAGTACATGCCACAAACAACTCATCCTTGCCCCTCCCCTTCATCTGGACCTGCCCTGCTGCACAATAGCTGAGCGACTGGTCCTGCCCATTGGACAAGGAGATGAAAAATATCATGCCCACAGATGAGCAAACAACAAAGAATGCACAGCCCGCCTGCTCAGACATAACCAAGTAAAACAAAAAAGCAGGACAAAACAAACAAATCTACAATCAATAAACGAGGAAAATAACTACTGAATGTCCTGAAGACAGCAGACAATATCAAAACATATTTAAAAAAACAGGACAGGATGGTTCCAGTAGGTGTCCAAAATAAAACATCAGATGACTTTCCAGTAGAAGAAAAGGCACTAGAACTATTTGATAGGGAATTCAAATCTCTAATATTCAGAGCTATCCAAGAGTTGAAGCAAAAAGCAGTCAAAAATGATGAAAAAATAGACAAATTCATGGAAAAGGCGGACAAATTCAGGGAAAATACAGACAGAAAAATGGAAGAATTTAGGAAAATAATACAGAAACAAAATGTCAAAATAAATTCACAAGAAATCATACAAAAACAACAATTAGAAATCCAAAAGATAAACAACAAGATTTCAGAAATGAACAGTGTCATAGAAGGTCTGAGGAGCAGGTTTGAAGCAATGGAAGACAGGATCAGCAAAATTGAAGACAAATACTTGGATACCACTTTGTTTGAGGAAAAATCAGAAAAAAGAATGAAGAAAAATGAAGAAACCCTAAGAATGATGTGGGATACAATCAAAAGCAAAAATTTGTGAGAGATCAGAATTCCAGAACAGGAGGAGAAAACAGAAAACACAGAGAGGATCATTGAAGAACTGCTGACAGAAAACTTTCCCAATATCATGAAAGATGAAAAGCTGACCATCCAAGAAGCTCAAAGAACCCCATATAGGGTAGACCCCAAAAGAAAACAACCAAGACATATCATAATCACACTCGCTAAAACCAAAGACGAAGAAAGAATCCAGACAGCAGCTTGAGAAAAACGAAAAGTCACATACAGAGGGGAAACAATAAGACTAAGCTCTGATTACTCATCAGAAACCAAGAAGGCAATGGGATGACATATATAAAACCTTGAAAGTAAAAAATTGCCAACAAAGCATAATATAACCTGCAAAACTCTCATTCAGATATGATGGTGAAATTAACACATTTCCAGATAAACAGAAATTAAGGGAATATGTAAAACCCAAACCAAACTTACAAGAATTATTAAAGGAGGCCCTTTGGTTTGAGAACAAATAATATCAGATCACAGCCTGAATCCAGGACGCAAGATTGCACTAGCCAGATACCAACCTAGCAAGTGAACTCTCAAGGACTATTTGAAACCAAAAGATTTACAACAGGGAACCAGAGAGGTTAATCTGTAAATGACAACAATGTTAGAACAATAAAAGAAGGACTAAATGGTACAGGTATAGAACTTTCTAAAGGAGAGGAAGGCAAGGCAATACCAAGTAATAATAGACTGATTCAAACCTAGGAAGATAAGGGTAAATTTCAAGGTAACCACAAAGAAAGTTTACAAACTTACTCATCAAAATAAAGAAGAAAAACAGAAAGTCTCAGTAAAAACAAACAAAATGAAAAAAAAATATCCACAAACAAAAGCAATTCAGCACAGGAAAGTCAGAGGAACAAAGAAAACGTCAGCACCACAAAAAAAAGCACTACAAAATGACAGCAATAAACTCACACCTATCAATAACTACACTGAACATAAATGGTCTCAATGCACCCATAAAGAGACAGAGAGTTACAGAATTCATCAATATGCTACACCTTAGAAACAAAGACGTAAATTTAAAAAATCAAAGGATGGAAAAAAATACATCAAACAAACAGCTACCAAACAAGAGCAGGCGTGGCAATAGCAATCTCAGATAAAATAGACTTTAAAACAAAATCCACCATAAAAGACAAAGAAGGGCACTATGTCATGATTAAAGGGACGATCCATCATGAAGACACAACCATAATAAATATCTACGCACCCAATGACAGGGCTCATTCACACACATACATACACATATATATATATTTGTTATATATGTGTATGTGATAGAGTACCCACATCAAATCACAGCTAGAATCAAGCTTAATGTTTAAAAAAATTAGAACTATTTCCATTAAAGTTAGAAATAAAATAAGTATTCTCATTACCACCCTATTACACAATGCAATACTAAATGGTCTAGTGTTCCATTTAATCAATAAAACAGATTAAGAGGTATACATATCAGAAAAGTGGGAACAATGTTTTTATTTACATGTAACATAAATTTTAAATTTATAAAACCAAATAATACCAACTGAAACTTGTTATAAAATAGACAATTTCAATAAAGAGGCCATCAGAAAAGCAATACACACTCAATAGATTTTCTATATTCAAATAATATCTAGTTAGAAAAATTGAATGCAGGGAAGATCCCATTTATAATAGGAATACAATTCCTAGGAATAAACTTAATAAAATAAAAAGGAAGAACTCTAAAATTCTAGGATGCCATTACAAGAAGACTTGAACAAATGAAGAGAATATTTTGTTTTGGATAGGAAGAGGAAATAGTGTAACAATGTAATCACTCACTAAATTATTCTATGATTTTAATAATCCACAATCAAAAGTTTCAACTAGATTTTTTTAAGTAACAAAATAATTCTAATTTTATCTCAAAGAATAATAACGTAAGATACCTTAGAAAATAAAAAACAGAAGAGTAAATAAGGTATATTTGCCAACCAGATATACAAAAGTAATACAAATTTCCTATTGCAGCAACGGACAGACCAATCTTTGGAACAGAAAAGAGTCCAGAAATAAGCCCAAATATATTTATGGAAATGTAGCATATGATAAATGTATTGTTGCTTGTCAATGAGGAAAAGATAGTGTATATACCAGAATTTCACTTTTACACCAAAATGAATTCCTAGGTGTATCCAGTAGTCCCTGGGTGGTACAAATGGTTAACACACTCAGTTGCTAACCGAAAGGTTAGAGGTTCAAGTCCACCCAGAGATGGCTCAGAAGA